GGAAAAAGGCCCGTTTCCCAGCCCGTCTGGCTTGTTCAATTTGCGGCCACAGCCGCCTCCTCTCTTCCCAGTCCTCTTGCAGCAGCACCTCAGCGAAGTGGAAACCGCCGTTCTTACAGACAGCCGAATCTTTGGTGCGACGCCAAAACTCCTCTTTCACATGTCTCAGAGCAAACAGATGATATGTCGGACCTTATTCTCAATCTTCTTCCCAACTCTATGCACCACATCCACAGATTCTTCAAGCTTTGATATCATATCAGGTGCGATCTTGCCAAGATCTGACATCTTCATCTTTTTTCTCTTCTAATCCTTTAATCCAAGGCACCACCTCATGTTGTACCTTTCTTGCTCTCTCACTCTCTCTTGAGATCGTAGTTATCTTTGGTCAGCTGCTCGTTTTGTCTCTTCAACTCTTTAACCTTTTGTTTTCTTTCACCTCCTCCGAGTTGAACTGAACCGCTTTGGCTAGGCTGGCTAGCATCGTACTAGCTTGCTTGCATTGCACACTCAGGTCAGCTAGCTGCTCGTCCACCCTTTTTTCAAGGTTTAGAATCGCTTTCAATATAGTAGCATTGGAGACTTCGTCACTTTCACTTATCTCTGCTGACTTAGCTTTGTTGTCTGCAGGCTTCTTATTGGGTGTAGATGGAACCGAATCGTTGCCCCGTTCCCTTTTGCTCATCACTGCTACGTCCATTGCTACGTAGTCATGATCCGTTCCTTCTCTGCTGTCTTCCTTTTCATCACATGGCGATGTTGTTTCTTGTTTTTTGAGGTCGAGTTTGAATTTAGCAGGTTTAACTATACTTGGGGCAGTCATTTTACTACTTTCGAGTGGAAACAATAACGAACACAAGTAAATTCTGGGACAAGTTTAACGAGCTCCTAATTCGTGCGACTGCTCAACTCGCCGTCTTGCCATTGTGCAAAAATGAAGCCAAAATATCTCGCTTGTGGAGGCTGCCATCTTGGATCTGCGCAGTAGTAACTTGAGGTGGAGTGACTGTGTCACGCTTCCACCCACACACCCTCTGGACGTGACCGCAAACACGCCCCGCTACACTTTTTACGTAGCCCGGCTGATGGGTTTACCGCGACTGACGACTCGTTAAATTAAGGTAAATACAACCACGTCACTGTTATGAAAAAGACACACAGCT